CAGTAGCAATAGATTACAATAGGGAGATTATTGTTAACCACACACACATAGCATACGCACAGCTCTGTGCCTATTTGGCGTTCCATACAAATATATTACGGCCGAACAAGTGTACGGCCGAACCGGACGTAGGCCCTACTACAGGCTCTTGAATTAGGGAGGATAAATAAAAGGCCAAGGCCTCAAGTCAAGTGCTGGGCTAGCAACTAGGCTAGGCTGTAATACTATAATATAATCTAAGCTTAGGCCTAGCCTTTTGGTGACCGATATTTAATTATTTAGCCAGCAGAGCCGAGCCTGGCTAGGCCAGCCCAGGCCCTAGCTAGTGAGCCTAACAAAGCGGATCATGCTATGCCGTAGCCTGGGAAATTCTAACATCTTTCAGAAACCGATTACAAAATTTTATAAAAATTACATTTTTACAGTAGAGAAAAACAAAACAGTTAAGAACAACCTAAAATCCAGCGAGATGTTTACATCAAGTAGTTTGGCAATGGATGATCATGATTTGGATTGTTTTTTAGTTGCGACCTGAGTTGCGAGGACAGAGAGAGGTCGTAATTTCCGTATGTTCTCTCGTACAATCATCACATTTCACTGCATAATAATTTATAAACATTAGTTTCAATTTCAAAATATACATTTCTTAAATTACTATTTATTTAAGAGTCTATTAACGTATCATTTTTTTTTGTTTGTATTTAATATTATGTTTTAATGCTAAACTTAGCACATAAGTTTCCAAGATGGCTGCGCCCATGCAAAAAGACAATCAAAATATAGAGGGCGTATGATATATCATAATAATGATGACTAAAATATTGTAGGTACGATTAAAATCATGGTAACGGTTGAGGTTTCGTGCATCGAACTATAGAAAAAGCTTTATTTTTATTTATTTATTCTATTTGTTTATTTATTTACTTTGTGAATCGTTGGCACTCACGAGTGGTGAACATAACCATAACTTGAATACAATACAAGTCACATAAATACTGTACACTAGGGCCCTTAATACAATAATACTAATTATTTGGGTGCGCGTGTGTAGGTGTGTGTGTGTGTGTGTGAATTTGCATGCATATGATGTGGATTGTGTTCATATATAAAACACACAAATACATCCCTCCCCACCACCCAACCAACTAACCCCTTTTTCAAATTTGAACCACATGTAATGAGTAAAAATGAAAACATCCCAGCTAGCAAAGCGAAGTTGGCCCAACGTTGGTAAACGTTGGCAAGCGTCGGTAAGCGTCGCGGTCGGATATCTGACGTTGGTACGACGTTGGTGTTTGGTTGCAAAATTTGGTCGGAGAGGTAACACGTCAAACCAACATTGGAATTTCACGTTGGCCCAACGTATGAGTATATTTGTCGATTTTCCGATGTCGTCCCAACGTTGGTAAGCCGTAAATAGGCATTTTTCGTTTTGACTACGCGGCCAGTCTACTACGAACTAATGGAGTGTGACGGCAACACCAAGACACTGTTCGCGTGGTAGACCAAGAGCTGTTTTCGTTTTTTTAAGGCGACTACGACGACGCAGCACACACGTAGGCCTACGGAGGGGAGTTAGTCGACCATGGTTTTATTACCAGAGAACAATGTTCCCTTGTTTTATATTTGAAAAAGGAAATGTGAAAAAAAAACTTTAGCCAAATACTGTATACAAAATAAAAAGTTTCCAATAAACACTGAGTGATGTTTCGCTGTTGGCTAGGATCTAGGCCTACCTAGGCTAGGCCCTGGTGTCAAAAAAAGAGTCGTTACCGGGAGTAGAGGGGTGCCAGGCCTGCTCAGGCAATTTGCCAAATGCAACGATGATGTACAAATGAATAACAATTTTAAACAGAGGTATTTTAATTTATATAGCAAGGCATGATCCACGATATCAAGGGCGGATGCCCTAGCTAGCGGCACCAGATAATGTGTTTTCTCCTAGCCCTACCCGAAATCCACCCAAGGCTAGGCTAGCCTAGGCCTATAAGGCTCTTTTTTCACTATCCCCTGATTTACCTAAATTTATGTTGTGACTATTCATTCCTCATTTATTGCATTTGTATAAATAGGCCTTTATATAAAACATTTAATTACTCACGTACTTGTTTTAATAATTAATTCATTATAAACGAACAATGCTTGATCGCGGATGCGATGAAAAATGCAACCCCCAACAAAAAAGTTACCAGCAGTTTGCTAAACAATCCGGTGATCTGATTGGTCAATATTAGGGTAGTCGCCACTACGCCAAATTCAGAAATTGGGGTTGTCGCGGAAGCTGTCACAACACCGATTTAGCCAGTAAGGTTTGTGAGCATGCGCAGATGTCTGTTGCGCTCTATTAGTTCGTAGTAGACTGGCCGCGTAGTCAAAACGAAAAATGCCTAATATTCAGTCAGACTACGGACGTTGGTACAACGTCACGATTTGTTACTGGCCCGACGTCGGCAAACTACTAAAAAGATGGTTGGGTACTACCGTTGGCCCAACGTTGGCTAGAGTTTGTAAATATTAGATGTGATTGTAGACGTTGTCTACGTCACAGTACGTTGTTGGTCCGACGTAAACGTTTGAAATGGTGGTTGGTTAAATCCGTTGGCCCGACGTTGGTTAGAGGTTGTAAGTATTAGGATATGATAACAGACGTTGTCGCAACGTCAGAGTACGACGTCGGTAAACGTTAGTGAAGGTTGGTTACAACCATTGGGCCGACGTTGGTTAGAGGTTGTAAATATTAGATGTAATTAAAGACGTTGTCGCAACGTCATAGTACTTTGTTGGCCCGACGTCGGTAAACGTTTGACGTTGGTTACCACCGTTGGGCCGACGTTGGTTAGGGGTTGTAAATAGTGCATGTCAATTCCGGGCATCTATTGCCATAATTATAATTTGCTTTGGTACTATCTGTATAGAATAGATTATAGGTCCTTAATTAGACCTTTGCAACGCCTGTGAGGGAAAGGGTATCTAAGGGAGGGGGAGGAAGTCAATATTTTTTTGAGGAGGAACACTGCTTTGAAAAAGGATTGTTACCAAATGGAGAGTGCCATTTCCGAACGTCTAGAGGGGCGTGTTCTTAAAATTTGCTCACCTCAGCCCCAAACATGGCGGGGCTGAGATGGGTGTGTTGTACCTATTCTCTCCCCCCCCCCCGTCAAAATATGTATGGATCCGCCCCTCTGAAAGATCCAATTGGAATAGATTCAGAATTATTTGATCGGATGTATGAACAATCAGTTTAAAAATTTATCATTGTTAGAGTGACTAGTCGATATCGACGCTGAAACGTGCATTGAATCAAACCAATTTCTTATTTTTCGAAAATCATCGAATAGAAAAACTTCTTTGTGTTTGTAAAAATGTTGTTGTTAAAAGATGTTTTAAAAAGTTACGTTAGTACATATATAGCCCTCATAGTAGGTGCGCCTAACAATGGTGTTACTGGCTCAATTTACGGGGCGCCGTTTGGGACATTGCTATTTATTTCTTTAAATAGGCATTCTGTTGTTACAGAATAATTATGTACCACATAATTATTACTGTCAAACTATTATGTGTATATAATTAATTCTGTTGTTACAAAAATAATTATGTACCACAAAATTATTACTGTCACACTATTATGTGTACATAATTAATTCTGTGGTTACAGAAATAAATATGTACCACATAATTATTGCTGTCATACTATTCTGTGTACAAAATTAATTCTGTGTTAACAGAAATAATTATGTACTACAGAAATATTACTTTCTAACTATTCTGTTGTACAGAATCAATTCTCTACTACTTAATTTTGTTTCTATCACCACATAATTATTTCTGTTCTCTGTCCGCAAAGAATTATTTCTGTCCACTCTCTACGCAATTAGATGGTAGAGTTTCCATCAAACATCCAATAAAAGCATCCATGTCCAATACTGTCAAAAGTCCTTTGAGACTAAGACAGTTTGTGGGTTATTAGAATAATAAGGATAAAAGACATTTGTGAAGTTGGTAATTTAATTGGAGGGAGACCTAACAAAATTATTTCTGTACCGCACAGAATTATTTCTGTGAGAACTGAAATAATTCTGTGGTGAAGGAAACAAAATTATGTAGTACAGAATCGATTCTGTACTACATAATAGTTAGAAAGTACCGTAATAATTCTGTAGTACATTCTGCTAACACAGAATTAATTCTGTACAAAGAAAAGTTTGACAGTAATAATTCTGTGGTACATAATTATTTCTGTAACAACAGAATTAATTATGTACAGTACATACTGCATATAATCGTTTGACAGTAATAATTCTGTAGTACATAATTATTTCTGTGACAACAGAATGCCTATTTAAAGACATAAATAGCAATGTCCCAAACGGCGCCCCGTACAATTGGCCCTCTATAGGCCAAGATGTCATTCACATTGATGATAAGTTGGTCCAGTTTTAAGTTGCTTCAACATCAGTACCCTCTTTGCATTGTTACTAATTCATCAATATTTCTATTTTCAATGTGTAGAGGATGATTAGAGGTAAGTTATACTCTTTATTATGTCATTGTATTTATATTATAATTAACTTTAGCATAGTTAGCATTCCTTTATACCTTTTAGTTGCATTTCAAAAAGTGATGGAGTTATCACATAATAGTAAATACATAGGTCAATATGTACCATTATTGTTTTATTAACTAAGATATAATTTAAGTAAAAGCATTATGAATGAAGATGCTCAGTCTTACTATTGTATCATGGATTATTATAAGCCTATATTAGATAACTATTACAGTATATTGTAACTTAGGGTATCATTGTAGATTTACTTATAATAGTAATAATATTACAGTATGTAGGATTAGACGACGCAGTGTCATTACTCTTTAGTACACTGTGTGTGGGTGTGTGTGTTACGGTATGTACCGATCTACTGACCCATGGAGGTATTACAGTGAACTATAATACCTCCATGGTTCACTATTACAATAATACCTCCATGGTTGACCGTTCCGCTTCACTATTTTACTTATGATTGCCTAGGTATGCATGCAACAGTTCTTGGCACAATGATAGGAATGTTCCTATCTTAGGTTTTTTCCTCCTTTTGTTTTTTTCCTCCCTTAGTTTATACACAGATGTTATAAGTATCTGTGGTGTTTAGTATTTTATTTGCTTTAAGGTTAAGATACATTTCAGGTAGTTTAGTTTGTTGTTTATGTACTGATTTAATTTATTATTAGCATTATAATTAGCTATAATAATGTTATATTTATCATTATTCTATTTAATATAATTTATCCATGCTTAGTTAAAATCAAGTTAATTTCTTGGCTCTGTATTTTGAATTGCTTGTTCAATTTTGTATCAATTTTGTTGATAATCAACCGGATTCATCAATACAATTAATCGATCAACTGAACACTGTAAATGAATGTTGCGGCCACAGTCAATTCGTGTTTGAGTCTTCATGCACTCTGTGATAGAAGTCACAAATTGTATTTTGGCGCGTCGATTTCAAAAGTATTATTATG